ATCTACTCTATCTCTTTCTAGTAAACACTTCTTCAAGTAGGAGAAAGGCTTTTTCATAAGTTGTAAAAAAGGAGCTCTGTCATTCCTAAAAGAGAAGGAGAGAGGGGAGCCCTTGGAGGACCCCTTTTCAGAAGAGGCAAGGGCATTCATTACCTACACAGAGATAAAAGAGCTTTCAGATGACCTAGACACATGACTTTTTCGATTGAATTCTGTGGCTCATACTACAATAATAAAACAAAGCACATTTGATTTTTTCAGAAAAGAGAAATAGCGCAAGGTCTACGGAAAGAACAACTTATTCAACAAAGACAGCAAACATAAAAAAGCAACCGAAACGAATGTTGTGCAATTTAGTTTCAGGTAGCTTCTGTGGGTTTTGTAAAAACAATACGGTATAGAAAAGCGCGTCGGTTAGACCCTTTCTCTTCAAAAACTTTCGGCTAAACCCTACACACCAAATTCGTCAAATTCTGTGGTTAGACTCGGTTAGACCCTTTCTTTGTAGAAACCTTCCGTCCATTACTCTACGCCCGAAATCTCGTCAATTCTGTGGTTACTCCCTTTCCCTCAAAAAAACAAGGGTTAACCTGTTGAAGTTTTAGATAAGAAATAGTTATAATGGCTTCCAAAGGTTTAAATGCTTCTGCTTTTGTAGAACAGGCAGTGAGTCGGTCGCGCCAGATTTTTGCAGTCGCGTTTTCTCGTGATATCTCCAAACAGAGGACGGACGTCTGGTGCGATCTACGTGCCTCCTTTTGTGAAAAGGCAGCGAGTAGATCGCACCAGCGTGTTTTCTCGTGATTTCTCCGAATAGAGGACGGACAAAATCTAGTTAAACTTCCGTTGAATACCAAGAAGTGGAGGAGCTATATGCAAGGTAGGGGGAATTCCGAGTTTCTAGCGTCACTTCTCTGTCCTTTCCCATTAAGAGAAAATGAACTTTCTCATGGCATAATCAGAGAAGAGTATCTCATTCCTTTGAGGTAGAGGCGTTCTCTTCGTTCCCGTTTAAGGAGGCAAAAGCTCTGTCACGCTCTCCCACTCCTTAGCCGGTTACAAGGTAAAGGGGCGTTTGGCTTTATGTCTTCATGCTTACTGGGTAAGGGAGGGGTTTGTCATGCTTCTTTCCTAGTGGGAAATACATTGCCTATGTTAACATGTTAACAGCTGGAGGAAATCTTCATGTTTTAAGTTAGACGGAGAAGGAGCTCATTCATTTAGTAACTACTAGGAAGTAGAGGCGCTACAAAGCAGAGACCATGTAGAGGAATTCCGAGTTCCAGAATAAGTGGAAAGGGAACTTTCTCATATCGCATTCCTTTATAAGAGGTAGAGGAGCTCTCTTCATTGCTGTTTAAAGAGGCAAAAGCTCTGTCACGCTCTCCCGTTCCCCTCTCCGATTACGAAGTACAGGGGCTTTTGGCTTTATGTCTTCGTTCGCTTTGTCGCTCCTTTCCTATTGGGAAATAGATTGGTGCCTCTGTTAACAGCTAGGCGAACTCTTCATGGATCCCTATCCGATTAGGACTTAGAGAGGCATGAAGCGATAAAGGAGCTGTCTTTTTCTTCCTGAGGACTGGAGGGGGTTTGTCATGCTTTATGCTTTGAGGGACTCTTCATGTCTTGTTAAACAGCGATGGCGCTCTTCATTTAATACCAATAAGAAGCAGAGTAGCTACAAGGTACAGACCAGGTAGAGGAATTTCGAGTTCCAGAATCGTTTCCCTTTCCTTTCCGATTGAAAGTGGAAACGAACTTTCTCATGCTCTATTCATCTCAGCCCTTAAGAGGTAGAGGAGCCAGCTTCATTCCGTCAAATCATGCTCCCATCCTATTGTATCATTGAAAAATGGACTGTGTTCCTGTTGTCTTTTTTGCCAGCTAGAGGAAACTCATCATGTGTTGAGTTCAACAATGAATGGCTCTTTAATTTAATGCCAAGATGTCGTAAGTAGAGGAGCTACGAGGTAGGGACCAGGTAGAGGAATTCCGAGTCGCAGAATCGCTTCTCTTTCCTTTCCTATTGACAGTGGAAAAGGAACTTTCTCATTTCCTATTCAGATAAGTAGTACCTCATTCCTTTAAGAGGCGGAGAAGCTTGCTTCATATCGCTTCTCTTTCCTTTCCTATTGAAAGTGGAGACGGCACTTTCTCATTTTCGAAAAAAGTATCTCATTCCTTTAAGAGGCAACGGAGCCGCCCTGTTTCCTTTAAAACAAGGCGGTTCAACAGTACCAAATTTCCTTAAAGGTTGTCTTGAAAAAATTTGGTACTGTTGAACCGCCCTGTTTTCTTCAAACACGGCAGCACGCTTCCAGAAAAATTGCCACCTTGCTATCTCTCTCCTCTCTCACTTCCCTTTCCCTTCTCTCCTTCTAGTTTCTTTTTTAACTGATAAAACACAAGAAAGGAACTTGCGTGATAAAGCAGTGGAAGGTAAAGCAGAGGGTGACTCCTTGCGCGTGGACCTTGCCGTACTTCATCATATCCCTCTTCTCGGCCTATCTCTTCTGCTCTTTTTTCTTACTGTTCTCCTTTTCATAATTCTTCCTGTTTAGTTGTTCAAATTTCGAAAAGAAAGAGGGAAGGGCGAGATAAGGGAGGGAGGAAAGATAAAGAAAAGTGCCATCTTCTCAGCGCCTTGTTTTGTCTCTCCTTCTTCTCTATTCATCTCTCTTCTATTCTTTTCTTTGCCATTCCATTGAAACTGGATTCCTGTTATCTCTCCTCTCCTCTCTCCTTCTCTCTCGCTCCTCTTCTCCTGTTCCCCTCTAAACGATTGCTCTTTACAGATAGGTGCCCCCTCTCCTCTTCAGGAAATTTCCTTTCCCTTATTTTGCTTTTTGAAGCGAAGAAAACAACAGATAAGAAGAGAGGAAAGTGAATGACTAAGTAAAGAGAGGAGCCCTTCAATTTCCCTCCCTATATCTGACGCTATTATTCTTTCTTGGTTGTCGCCCTTCTTTCTCCCTTGAAGATGCAGAAAACGATCAGGAAGGACACCCGTTCCATCGCCCATATATGAGAGAAATCATGAGCATCAGCTGGGTTTGCTGCCGATCCAAAATGGGCGTCCTTTTTAATCGCCTTCTGTGTCTTCAAACGAGCAAAAGAACGATCAAACAGGACACCCGTTCCATCGCCCATATATAGGGAGAGAGAGAGAGAGAGAAATCATGAGCATCAGCTGGGTTTGCTTACATGTTCATTGTTCTTCCTTTTGTTTCTTTCTTTCTAACGGAAATGAGCAAGAGAAGAGAAAAATTAGAACCAGAAGAAAGATGAAAACGAGCACCGTCTTCTCTTTGCCTGATTTTTGCGCCTCCCTCGCCTGTCTTCATTTCTCTTCCATTCTTGTCATTGCTTATCCCAGTAGAGTTGCGTTCCTTTTGATCTCTCCTCTCTCCTTTCTCTCTCTCTCTCTCTCTCTCTCTCTCTCTCTCTCTCCCTTCTCTTCTCTTGTTCTCCTGTAAATCTCAAAAACACACAAAAGGAAGCTTCTTTTGCCTTTTTGAAAGAAAAAAGAAAAAACGAGATGGGGAAACAAATTGAAGAGCTCCACTGCCTATTGTTTCATTCCCTTTCCTCTCGTTCTATGTGTTGTTTCCTTGTCGTTTCAGAGAGCAAGCAAAATGAGGGCAAGGGCTTCCTGAAGAGGAGAGAGGGCACCTATCTGCGAAGAGCAAGAATAGTCTTGTCTTGTTTAATTATAGAGGGAAAGGGAGAGACAAGGAAGGGAGAGATTATAGATAAAGAAGAGTGCCATCTCCTGTGCGCCTTGTTGTGTTCCTCCGTCTCCTTGTTTCTTGTCTCCTCTCTTCTGTTCAGTACCCTTCCAGAAAAATAAAATGGCCTCCTTGCTGTCTCTCCTCTCTCACTTCCCTTTCCCTTCTCTCCTTCTGTTTCCTTTTAACTGATAAAACACAATAAAGGAACTTGCATGATAAAACCTTGCCGTACTTCATCATATCCCTCTTCTCGGCCTATCTCTTCTGCTCTGAGGAAAGATAAAGAAGAGTGCCATCTTCTCAGCGCATTGTTTTGTCTCTCCATCTTCTCTATTCATCTCTCTTCTATTCTTTTCTTTGCTATTCCATTGAAATTGGATTCCTGTTATCTCTCCTCTCTCCTTCTCTCTCCCTCCTCTTCTCCTGTTCCTCTCTAAATGACAAAAACACAAGAAAGGAAGAACAAGAGGGGAATGGAAGCCCTTTTCCTGTCTTCTCCTGTTGCAATAAGAAGGAAAAGAGCATAGGAGATAAGGAAGGGAATTGAAGAATTCTGTGGCTCATACTACAATAACAAAACAAAACGCATTGAACAGCAGCACAAGGCTATGGAAAACACCATATTTTCAGAGAGAGAAAAAAGGAATTGAAGTTGAGCAACTTAGTTTCGACTAGAGTTTGTGGTTCTGCAACAACAAAACAAAATGCATTGAGAAATAACGCAAGGTCTACGGAAAGAACAACTTATTCAACAAAGACAGCAAACATAAAGAAGCAACCGAAACGAATGTTGTGCAATTTAGTTTCAGGTAGCTTCTGTGGGTTTTGTAAAAACAATACGGTATAGAAAAGCGCGTCGGTTAGACCCTTTCTCTTCAAAAACTTTCGGCTAAACCCTACACACCAAATTCGTCAAATTCTGTGGTTAGACTCGGTTAGACTCTTTCTTTGTAGAAACCTTCCGTCCATTACCCTAGGCCCGAAATCTCGTCAATTCTGTGGTTACTCCCTTTCCCGCAAAAAAACAAGGGTTAACCTGTTGAAGTTTTAGATAAGAAATAGTTATAATGGCTTCCAAAGGTTTAAATGCTTCTGCTTTTGTGGCAGAAGGAGCCAGCAGCAGAACGTGTCTGGCCAAAGAGATTAGGGTTTAAATAGTCCAATGTATATAAACAAAAGACCTATGTCAAATCATACGTAAAGGTTCCTGCCTCATATATATATATATATATATACTTTCCGCAGGCTCTCAAGTTCACAGCCAGCCACAGTGGGTTCGGAAGCCACTGACAGGCGCGGCTGCGCGTTGCTGGCGAGGGAGCCACCCGCCTTCAGGGGTTTTTGAAGTGGCCCATGGAACAGATCATGGTAGCAACAAGGCGTCTACAAAAAACAAAGCTTTAAAAAATAAGATACACACACATATATATATATATACACATGTATATCGAAAAGCGTATATATATATATATGTGTGTGTATATATGTATTTGTTTACTTATATTAATGTTTATTCTCACGGAAGCAGAAAGTTGCAAAAAGAAAAACATGCCTGAGTTTAGCGTTGCCGGGTTTCGGGTGGGGCGAGGGCCTTCCGAGGTTTGTTTTGTTGGGATCCGCGAAGTGCTGGCCGAATCCCTAAAACCATAAACTGCCCTAAACCCTAAACCCTGAACCCTAAACCCTAAACCGCCAAAACAGGCCTAACCCCGAAGGCAAAGCGGCTTTCTGCAGAGTTTAGGGTTTGCGGCTGCACGTGGCCTCCTCAACGGTCAGGATGCGTGTGCCTGCAGGGCACTTCATCGTCAGCCCTTGTCAAACAAATCCAACCAAAGAGCCCGTAGGCCCTAAACCCCAAGACCAACACAAGCACTGCAAGCAACAAAGGAGGGCCCTCAACACCAACAAAACCCACCGCAGCAACGCAGGCAACACAAGAACCAGCCCTCTGGGGCGGGCCTCCCCTCAACGGGGTGGAGTTGGAGAGCTTCTGGGTTCGGTCCGGGGGGGGGGGGTTGATTCGGGGGCTCTTGGAGTTTGTGACTGAGGTTAGCTCTGAGGCGCCTTGCAGCAACTTCTCCACCTGCCGGAGCGCCACCCTTGCGTTGCCCAGCTGATAGCCTCTCGCCTGGCACACCTGCAACGGCATCTCCGTCCGCAGTTGTTTCACGTTGTCGGGCTTGTGGAGGTCCCTGCAAGGTGTGAACCCGAGACCCGAGACCTTATGGCATCCTACTACACCCTGCAGAACGAGGCCCAAATCAAGGTCGATTTACGGGTCTTTGTAGGCTGGCCATGTAAAGTCCCCCTAACCCTAAATCTGAACCTCGAAATACTCAGCTCGGCGCATCCAGGCTGAGTGAAGCCGAGGCCATTCTCAGCTCCCTGTCTGCCTACCAGAGGCGCTTCGAAAGCGGGGGGGCCGAATGATTTTGCGGCAGAGCATGGAACCTCATGGTGAACCAGGGAGCTGGCCAAGGGATCGAGTCGCATTGGTTCGCTTACAGGGAAAATGCGCTGCAAGCGAAGAGAAAGAAGGCAGAACGAAAGCAAAGACTCAAACGACGAAGCAGCCAAAAAAAGGTGTCTGCTGTCTCTTTATACATACGGGTTGGGGGTCATGAAATCTTGCAGGGCAGAATTTGGGAGTTTCAAAAACGCAGTCTTGCAGAGGGTATCCAGGCCAGGCTGCCAATTCAGGGCTCATGGTCTTGGCAGCTTTGGCCTGGGAGTTCAAGCTGGATTTTTAAGGTTGGGGGATTCGTGTGGACGTGGAAACCCCGATTGGCCAGCCGCCTTCTCGTTGGCCATCCGGATCCAGGCAAAGTTGCCGTCCCTGGTACAGGTAGCTATTCGCGGTCAGAAACGCATCCGCCGTAGCTACCAGTCTTTAGACTCACGGCGTTTAGGACCCGCGTTTAGGGGTTTCCCAGCAGCCCCCCCACCTCTGGGCCAGCTGCTGACCAGGCTGGACGCTGGGGACTGGCAAGCTGTCGGCCTCAGGGAGGGAGGCTTTTTTTTGGGCCCCTCAACTGGGGCTCTTTTTGTGGTCACCGTGTTACTGGGGCAAGCTCAGGGAGCCTAGACTGGGCGCCTCGTTGTCGGGGTCCGTCGGATGGCTCTCCCGCAGGAAGTGGTCGGGGTTGCTCCGGCGGCAGCGGTTGCCAAAAGAGCATCCTTGGCTGAGGGACGGTCAAGACTTCCGAGGGCTTCTTCCGAACCCTAAAGCCCGCCTAAATCACTAAATTCTCGAACCCCTGCACCCCAAACCAGCGCCGTTAAACACTCTTAAACCTCGAGTGGGAACAGGCTCTTTCTTTGAGCGAGCGGCTGGGCCTTTCCAAGCGGTGTTCCCCAAAGACCGGCTCCTGTGAGTTTAGGGTTTAGGGCTTCGGGAGCTACGGGTTGTAGGCGTAGGGTTGCTGGGCTCCGAAGACGCAGGTTTGCGGCTTGTGGGATTTCCTGTTGGGGGCTGAAACCCGAAATCCCAAACCCTCACGGCGCAACCTGCTCCACGACCTGCACCGGGAGCGGCCCAACCGTCTGATAGGCACTGCCCTTCGTGCAAAACTCCCGACAAAATGGAGAGGCTTCCCAGGGGGGGGGAGGCCTTTGGAGGAGAAGTCTCTACTTCCAGCATATTCGGCCTTCCTTATGGTTTAGGGCTTTCGGGCGCGCAACCCAAGGTTCAGCCCCCGAATAGCAATGGACTCAGAGGTCTCGTTGGTTGAACTAAGGCTCAGAATTCGAGCTTATGTGGCCTGATGGCTCAGGATTCGGGATGTCTCAATGAACCCCGGGTTCTGGGCGAGGCTTCCGGCTCCAATGTTATCTCGAACCTGTTGAACAGGTGGCTGGATCCTCAACCATTAAAGACATCCCACAAACATTGTCCGAAAATCAGCCCCAACCCCTGTTCCAGTGAAGACCCCCTGTCCCCTCTCTGGCCAAGCGTCTCCGGAGCTGCTAGCCGTCTCAGTCAAAGATCCGAGAGGGAATTAAGTGCAGTGGTTCCAGGGGCCCATTGGGTTCAAAGGGAACTCCTAGCACAGGACGTCTTGGAGCTTTCTCGTCTGGCATTTGGGGCTTGCCCATTTGGCCTGAAGGACTTGTGAGCTTCAAAAAGAAATCCTGTAGAACCTCTGGGTGGTGACTGGAGATCTCCACTACAATCGACCTGCGAGGTGCGATAGGAACAGGGCTCTGGGCTTGCTCCCTCTTTTTTCCAGGTCTGCAAGCAAGTCTGCTAGGCCCCCAGGGCTGCGGAACCAGAAAAATGACCCAACCCCTTGCACCCCAAGGTGCCAACGACTGGGTAAGCTCCTTGTCGCGGCCAACCTGGGATAAGGGGGAGGAGTCCAAGATCCTAAGGATCCTACGGCAAGGGTGAGGAGCTCCGAAGCCCCTTGCCAAGAGAAAGCCCAGGGGTAGCCTTTTAAGAGCAACGAGATGGGAAAACCAAGTAGCCAAAAAGGGAAGTCTTCAATGAACAGCTCTGGCCAACTCCGAGGGCTAAGATCGCTTAGGGTTCAAGGCCCTTGCAACAGGAGAAGAGAAGGAAGAGGCCCTAAACTCACCTTGCTGCGTACCCAGACCCCTTCATGAACTCCTTGAAAGCCCAGGCACTCTGGCATATGACGGCTCGTTGGGGATTTGGGGCTTTTGGGGGGCCCGAGGTTCGGAGATCATGAACCCTTCAAATCTTGACCTCAGGTCCTCTCCCTCAACCAGGACGGCACTCAAACAAGATATGTACGTATGAGCATACGTATTTACATGAATGTGCATCTGCATATATTTCTGCATACATGTACACACTCGAAAGTACTGAGCCTTAACCTGGAATGCCTCCTCGGCCCCAACGCCTCCCCTGGTCCGAACCCTTGGATGGTTTCTGCACTCCTGGAAGTCCCCCGAACCCATGGTAGGAAACGAGAAACACGGGTCCAGAAGAATTCGAAGCTGCGGCAGATACCTCGTACCTTTAGATGGAGGCTAGAGAAAAAACGCGGGGGTTGATGTAGTGCGTCATGTAAACGATGGAAGCGAGCCCGAAACCCCCCCCCCCCATATCGAAAGTCTCGAGCCTAGAGCTGCAAGCTGACTTTCGGGCTCAGCAGGCATGAAGATGAAGGTCGAAGGGTTCACGTGAGTTCACCATAGAGGCCACGAGAGCGAAGCTTCTGACCCGTCCATGGCACATGCACATCCAGCGAAACTCACGACGGAAATCCCAACAAACCGAAGAGCCCGGCACACCAAGAAATCTCCTCTTTGGGGCTTTTCGGATCTCTCAACCAGGAAGCACAGCAGTTGGCTTGGCTCAAGACCGTCCCCATGGCGTCACGGGAACCTGAAACCTTTTGCCTAGAAATGCCAAGCTACTCCGAAGGCTTTGAAAGCTTCAGTGTCCTTTCGGGACAGGGCGGGTGGGGTGGTGTGGATCTTTCTGCGTACATTGCGCAAACTGTTTAAAAGCATTTTGTGTCTTGTCGTGCCGGTGGGTACAAGCCTACCTTGAACCTCTACCATGCGAAGCACTGTGGGAAGTCGGGCAGATTCCAGGCTTCTTGCTTTAGATTTCGGGATCAACAGACCTCGGTCTCTGTGAGCTTAAGAATCTGATCAGGATGTTCTGTGGTCCATCTGAAAGCAGGTGCCGAGCTCATCCAGCCGAGCGACTTGGCAGACTTCAGGCGCTTGCACAAAGCATTGTCTGCGAAACGTTCTTTTTCCGGCCTTGAATGCGATTCCGTGGAGAGGATGTGCTCTGCGTCTCAGCCTGCACAAAGTGCTGGACACGATGGACACGGCAAATGAGGCCTGCCTATCAAAGCCCTGCAATGGTAAGAGCTGGGCATGCAGCCCAAGAAGTGTTTCTCAGTGTTTCTCCCCACGCAGCTTCATATCTGCTACCCGAGGATTCCTGTTTTTGATCCGACTAGTGACTAGTGCGATTACATTGCTTGCCTCATGTGAACTTGCGAACAGCGAAGGAACTAGCTCTTCCGTGATAATTGGTACAAGGGCTTGCATGTCGAATCGAAATCAGGGGTCTAGGCCTTATACACCCTAAGAACCCGACACCCCTTCATCAACCAAGCACTACACCTTGCATCATATCAGGGATACGGATGATTTCGGGTTCAACTGATCCGCAGGTTGATCCCGACGGGCATCCGCAGTTTTGCGTTTCAGGTTTGGCTAGACGCCAACGCCGAAACTCATAGGCCCTGAGGTTTCGGTTGCCTGCTGGTCGGTGAGGATGGTGGGCGCCTTGAGGATCGGCGACGTCGCTAGGCGGAACCTCAGCGATAACTCGTTGCGCTTGGTGCATCCACTCGACGGCTTTTTTGTGCTTAGCGTCTTGCGCGCCTGATCTTCCCGTAGGTCCGTAGGTCGGCTCGGGGTGCGTTGGGGGGGGCTGAGGGCTGAGACTTCATAAACCCTCAAACCTCGCCCCGGGCCCTCATGCTGAGAATCTCCAAGCTCACAAAATTTGTGCCATCACGCCTCGACCGCAGGCGACCTAGCTGTACGAACTAGACATGTCATCTGGGCAAGGCTTCGGCGAGGCATGCTGGGTTTCCATGCGGCTCTGGGTGCGACTCATCGTAGGACCTGACTCAAGGTAGGCATGTGCACCGAAGCGGAGAATGACTTAAGGCGGGTTCAAAGTGTGGAGAAGTCAACGGAGATTGCACCAGCAGCACCGCCCCGTGTGAGCCCGTCACAGATTCGCCAGCCGATGACAGGTGTTCATCCTATGTTACGTCAACGATACTACCGCTTGCGCACGCCATCAGCCATGAGGAGCCTAACCAAGAAACACACCATTTCCCGGGCAACGTTCCTCTTTCACAGCCGTGCAGCCTTGTCATCAACTTCCATGGGCAACAGCTCGTCATGGCCTCTCGCTCACGGGATGCTTAGGAGACTTAAAGATGCAAAAATGATCAAAAATGCCAGCCTTCGGGTCTTCAGACGCTCAAGACGCTCAAGAGTAGTGTCTCAGACTTAGCCCCCGGCCACCACATTGAGAAATTATTGCAACCTGGGCGTTGCGATGGAGTCCGGAACAACCAAGGCCCGGATCCTCATATGATCTACTTGCTCGAGAAAGCGGAGCGCGGACGCTTTTATGGTACCCCAAGGTATGGTCCGGTAAGATGTGGGGGGGGAGGGGAAAGGGGGCCCGGGCCTGAGATAAGGAGTTGAGTGAATTGGGGCTTCGGGATTTAAGGTTTATGGTTGGTGTGCCCCCCACCCCCCCTTGAAGTTTGGGGCGGGGTCTTTCTTAGGGCACATGGGCGGTTTGAGGGCGTGGGGCTTGTAGGGTTTAGGGTTCTGGGCCCAATTGATTTCAGCCAGGCATGTCCTCATGCTCCGACTTATCAGGTGCCAACCCCTCCTGAAAAGCACGAACTCAGTCATTGTGACTTCAAGCACCACCAGGCCGGGTAGTAGTGGAGGTGATCGTGCCAACCGTCCTCCAACGCGGCCTCTTGCTGCAGCGTGTGGGGATGGTCCTGGCTGTGGTCATCATGCCGGTGCAGGTGCGAATGGAACAGCTGCGTCCACAACCAGTACGTGGCTCCGCCCAGAATGATAAACAGCGACGAGCCGTTGACCAAGATCTTAAACTGCTCTGGCCGATCCAGAATCAGGCTGGAGCCATAGGCCACCAGCGTGCCAGCTGAAGTCAGGGCCATGTCCACTGCTCCAATCGCCGAGCGATGCCTTGCATCGACAAGGTCCTGTTCCGCGTTCAGTACCCCTAGCTCGAAGACGTACAGCCCAGGTCGGGCCATGCACACAGCAACTACGAAGATCAGCACATAAAGACCAGCTGGACCAGATGGAGTCACTGATCGAAAAGCGCCCACAGCCAGGACGATGCTGCAAACAAGCCAAGCCACCGAGGCTGAGTTGGTACCACGGCAGCCGAGCTTTGCGACCAAGCGCGGGTATGCTGCTACCCCGAAGACACCGAGCAAAGCACCGCTGCAGCGCATCAAGGAGAGCTGCCAGCTGGCAACACTCTTCAGCATGAGGTAAGCGGTCATGATGGACCCAGCAGGGGAGAGCACGGTGAAGTAAAGGAAGGCGTAGGAGAAGCTCAGAAACTGGATCCCGCTCGGGTGGTGCCACCATGCCTTCCAAGCGGTCACGGGCACCATTGGGTTTTGATGGTTCTGCTGGTTCTGCTCGTGCGGCGCCTGTTGATTGGCCGCCATGGGCTGCAGCAGCTCGATCCGCGCATCATAGACCTGGAGAAGCAGTCTGAGCTGTGGTGCAAAGGACATCGCGTTCAGGAGGCCCACAGACACAAATCCGGCTGCCTCGGCATCATCAAAGCCAAGGTCGATGGCGAGGCGAGGGGTTATCAGGAGCCCTGCCAGCAGTGGCCCGACTGTCTTGCTGATGAGGTCAATCTGGGACATGGTCGAGTTCATCGACTTCAGCATGTCACCAGCGAAAAGCCGCGGCGTCCAGTCCCTTTTCACCGAGACATCGCTGAGCACAGTCCCCAATTCCTCCACGATGCTGAATCCGAGGAAGAAGAGGAGCGCCAGAAAGTCGGAGCTTCCAGCCTTTCCAGCCTCGCGTTGTAGCGACAAGAGCAGCACGGCAGTGGATCCCAGCACACCCACTGCCTGGGCAATCACACCACAGGCCACCACACGGCGACGACTTGTCCTGTCCGCCCAGGAACCAAGAGCTGGGGAGATCAGCAGACTGGCGGTTGTGGTCGCAAAGCCCCAGGACGCGGGACCCGTAAGCCGGCCGGGTGTGAAGCGCAACAGGACCAAAGGCCCGATAAAGAGCCAGGCTTGGGTCCCGAGCCTCGTGATGCCATGGCTCCAAAGGATCTTCTGCCGGACCTCGTCATCCGAGAGTCCTAGCAGCGGCTCCATGGGCAGAGAGATGGTGCAAATGATGGTGCATGATGGTGCATGATGGTGGACTCAGAGCAGAAGTCTTGCAGAAGTCTTGCAGAAGAATGCACAGGGTCAGGGTCAGGGCCGTGCACCAAGGCTTCGGCTTAAAGGCAGCGGCTCCGACTTCAGCTCGGTGTGCTGGGCTTCTGTGCATTCCGCAGATCCTCAGGCCGCCCCCCGAGTTGAGCTTTGGGATGTGCAAGCATGCAAAAAACCCGGGCAAAAAAAAACATAGACATAGACCACACCTCGAAACATGCACACACTAACACTCCACGAGGTCAAAAAGCCCGCACAAACACCGCCGCGTACCGAGGCGTGAACTCCCCAATCGGGCTGCGCCGTTTCCTTCTGAGATTGCTGGAAGCGCCTGGCGCTCTGACGGTCGAGGGCAGCTCCGAGGCATGGTTCCGAGCATAGGCTCCAAGGTTTACCCAAGCGTATTTGCGTGCTTGCGTGTTTACTACATGTTTGGGGGGGGGAGTTTCTTGCTAGATACCAGGCTGTGCCCGACCCCACCCCCCCCCTCAACTGCATCATGGCCAGAGCCCCCAGGTCCAGCACGCATGGTTTATGTTAGGACACAGGCATCGGTATCCGCAACCTCACATTGACGACCAGCGGCAGCCCACGCTCACCCGGACCCACCTTCAGCAAAAGGTGGCAGCATGGGGTTCGGAAATTTGATGAAAGAATGGCTTAACCTCTCGAGTTTGGGGGATCTACTCTAGAGGTTGGGCTTCCAAGTTCATTCAAAGCCCACAAGCCCAAGATGTTAGCGAAACCACCAAAAAAACTCGGAAAAGCTCATCTGTTTAAGGCTCATTTTTTTCATTTCAGGCCCAGACTTGTCGAAGCCTTGGAAAAATACCCCCCACGCCCCAAACCCCGTGAATTGAGGTTGGACACGTAGGTTCTGGCATGTGTTGGCAAGAAAAAGCCCATCTTACCCCAAGTCTGCATCAAAACAACACCAACACCTACTTCTGAGTTTTGAAAAGCTCATGGATCTGGTCTAACTCGTTCCGGAACAAGTCGCGCCTCCAGACCATCGAAGGTCCACCGGGTGAAAGATGAGCCCTCCAGGGTTCTTCCAAGTTTGCATTTCAAGGCTGAAGGTTCGAAAAAACAAATTTCAAGAGTGTCCACTCTGAGCAGCAGCATGCCTTCTCGGGTCTTTTGGCTTCGCGCGGAGGCTCCATGGTGGTGGAAAAACAGAAGAAGCAACTGCTTTGGGGGGGGCTGCCGCACCGGACCAGGAAGCTTAATGCTTAATTAGGGTCTTGCGTGCTCCAAAAACTTTACAATTTTGTGGTGAAGTACAGCTGTGGTAAATGTGGACTTGCGTGGGATCGTAAGGCTTTCCCGATTGCGGCGCCAGGCTTTTTCCTGGACCGCGATGCTGCTTTGACGACATGACACTCTTTTGTTGACAGTCTAGGGAGCGTTGAATACTGAGCAGATGCTGGACACGGGATACTCCGGCCTGATCCGACAGACACACGCGCCACATCATGTTTCTACACGGTATGGGAAAACACTCAGCGAGATCACAAAGCTTTTACAGATCCCGCAGCAGAGATGACGCGGAAATCCTCAAGTCACACCAACTTCAAGCATCTGTGGAGCCAGCCATTCAAGGGCTCATTTGCTTGCCTTAAGCAATTTGTTGATATTCCAGGGGATTCAACCGAGTTGTCGACCTCTCAAGCAAGCTCTGCTTTTGTCACACCTTGCCCAGAATCTCCCAGGCGTCTGTTCTTATTCAGGACTTCCTCATCTGCGGCGCTGGCTAAAAATCATCTACATTCAATTCGATGTCCGAGAGCGTTCCGTGGGGAACATCCGATAATGGAACGATACTTCTGAGGTTGAGAGGACGCATGTCCATGCCTGGGCCCAGCCCGAACCTGAACACGTTCAACAGATCGTGCCCAAGCTTCTACTGCCGAGTTCTTGGACGGCGAGACCTCGGGTCTTTCGTCTGTCTTTTTTGCTTTTTCACCTGCGAGAGTGCAAAGTGCCAAAGTGCGAAAATGCGTGCGTGCGAAAGTGCGACAGGTGCGAGAGGTGCGGAAGTGCGTGCGAGCCAAAGTCCGAAAGTGCCAAACAAGGTGCTCTTCGGGGTAGTGCCCAGCCATTCTCTGCACGGATACTGTGGGGTTGACTAGGGACTCTGCTTCTTTTTGTTTTCAATTAGCCTGGTGTGTTGGTGTGTCAGCTACATCACCCGTCTGAAGCTCAAAGTTTTTAGGGCCTCTCACCAAAAAAACAAACTGGATCCCCAAATTGCAGCAAAAAGTCGACCTGGTTCTATTGTGGTTTTGCTTTTTGCGGCCTTTCAGAATCTTCACGAAGAACGTCTGCCTACTTCTGGTTGCTTCCTAACAGGGATGGAAGTTTGGCAATGGATTTTGCACCCTACCCAACGTGCTATATCCGCAAGCGTCTGCATTTTGAGATAAGCGTCGCCCCAGGTTTGTACGAAAATCGTTTTATCACCCTCTCTCAGGCTTGTAAGGTACGAACAAAGCTTTGAAGCGCAACTGCACAAAGCCGGCGGAAAGCCCAGCTTAGCTTGCAGCTAAACCAACATCGCAACCTGCTTCAACCTTTGAAGACATGGAAACGAAGCAGGAGACGTTGAAGATGCTTCGGCAGCAAAGCCAGGCAATGCAATAGAACCAACTTTTTGCTGCACGAATGCATGCCTCAGAATGTCGAAGTACTGGGCTGCTTCCATTCTAACGTGTTTGGACAGGGTTTTGGCTCGTTTGTGCAGCTTTGTACATGGCGCAGTTCTGCAGCTTGGGTTGTAAAGGCTGCCTTTTCAATGCCAGCCAGTACAAGTCGCATGGCAGGTCAGGGCGGCTTCTAAACTGTCCAGTCTTCATACAACAAGTGCCAAAGCTCTTGCCTTGCCAAAAACAGTTTCAAAGCATACCATTGTTTCTGGTGACGGCGCCACGAGCGACTCCTGCCAAAACGCTTTTTGTGGAACCAGTGCGTGCGAGTGGCCAGAGCATCCATGGCCGCACGATGATAACGTCCGCCGCGTGATGATAACGTCCGTGCTACCAGTTCGTGCGAGTGGCCAAACCATCCATGCCTGCACCATGATAACATCCGTGTTACCAGTGCGTGCGCGTGGCCAGAGCATCCATGCCTGCACTATGATAAAGTCTGATTTACCAGTGCGTGCGAGTGGCTGGAGCATCTATGACTGCGCGATGATAATGTCCGTGTTACCTGTGCATGCGGGTGGCCAGAGCATCCATGACATCGTCCGTGTTACCAGTGCATGCGTGGCCAGAGCATCCATGCCTCCACGATGAAAACGTCCCTGGTACCAGTGCGCACGAGTGGCCAGAGCATCCATGCCCGCACGATTTTGACGTCCGTGCTTCCAGTGCGTGCGAGTGTTCACGTATTTATGTTCTAGCCGCCAGCACTTCGAGAAAAAATGTCATCAATCCAATATCCATGCCAGAATGTTCCAGTATTCCAAATGTCCATAATCTCTCAATTCCAATCAGAGAAGTCACACGCTGGTTTTGCCGGGAAGCATTGCAAAACTTTTTTTTAAGCGGACGCCTCTTTACTACATCAGTAGCACAGTAGGCCGATCTTGTGGGTCTCTCAACTAGGTGTGAAACAGGTCGCCAGAAAGAAGCAACACAACCAAGAGAGAAGAAACAACCCAACCAAACAAACCAGCAACACAACGACCAAACAACAAACCAGAAAAGGGCGGCGAAACTACTAAGAAGACCCCACGCGCTCAGTACTCAAGCTCGTCGATGTAGTCCCTGATCAGAGCCATAGCAGCACCAAGTCGTGTGAGGGAATCGCAAAATGCGATTGTGTGCCAGAGAACAAAATCACCATCACACAATCATCTGAATAAGTTGGCAGCCTGCAGGTTGGATGTTCACATACTCGCAGCTGTCATTGCCGACGTTCCAAGAATGGGCGGTGTGAGCCTACTCAAACTGCTGCATCGGCCGAAGTTTGACTGTTGTGGTAACCGAGGCATGCAATACCCCATCGATGCCTACCCCTCCCGCAGGGAGGGTAGGCCAAATTTGCCCCATGGTGATCAGCTCTTCCTTAAGTAGCCACAGCCGACTGACCATGGCGATCAGCCAAGGGCGCGCACCGCCAAACGTGCCGAGGCAGCTCCGGTAAGCGTCATTTGCAAGATGACGCTCCAACCCGGCTCGCCAGGCAGCATCGATCAAGGCGAAACAGCACAGTGCAACGTAGAAGCACGCACCGTGACCAGTCAGTGAGGGATTCGCCCCACTGAATCTTCCTGCCCCATGGTGATCAGCCAGTGGGGCTATCCAAGAGTAGCCAAGAGGCTACCGATTCCGTCGCTCTTCACAGCTCATGTTGCATCGGATGCTTTCATTCTTGCCGTAGCAAGCTCTGGGGACGGATGCCCCAGTTGTCCTATCATTGCCAGGGACCGTCTTATTGATTTACAAAACTGCAATCGTAAAACTCGAGCAAATGTATTGGCAAAGAGTAAACTCATCCATCCACATCGGGAATATATAAACTCGCGCTCACAAGCAAACCAGAAAGCACTCGGACTCTGTTTTGCCGCGAAGGAACAAGGGGCAATCATTCGCAAAAGCGTGCATCCACAAACTGACGGCAAGTGGTCAACGCCTCTTCAACGCAGAAAGCAAGAGGCACCACGACGGACCCGCCATACCCCATTCCCCGAAGACCCCACTGCTGGGTGGGTGGGTGGAGATGAAACCTGTTCGGATCTGAAGGCCAGTTTAATGACCTACTTTGACTGCTCTCTGCAGGTTCGGGCCATACTGACGGCACAGAATTCTCCCTGTGCATTGAGTATGCGCCGTGTAAAAACTTCATACCAAACAGTCACATCCATGAATGAAAACACGCTCAACACGTGGCTCCGTTTTTGGAACATTCCGTGTCAACACAATTAAAACATG